CTCGAACAAGGAACTTTAAAGACTCTGCCTGCCTTGACTACACGAATCGGGAATAAAGGTTTGTTTTTCCTGGGGCAGGTAAATATGAGAAGGTAGATGATGCATTGAAGAAGGAAAGAGAAGGGCTTCTCCGAGTGATTTACATATTGATTACTTAGATTACTGCTTCATTTAGTGCCTACTAATAAACCGTGCCTTGGAAATGTTTCCTGAGCGTTTATTGGCTGCAGTAATTCTACCCTGTGTATGCGGATCACGTCCTCATTAAATATTGATGCACTCATGAAATGTTAATAGGATGTTAATATGAAATACAAGGTAATGTGCTCGCTGGGAGCCGGGAGCTGGACGTGAGCTACCTGTCTCTGCCTTTGCCTTCTGTCTGCTCGGCTTGCTGTTTTCTTCAGTTTGTTTCCTCATTATCGGGAGATTCACTTTGCTCCCTGATCTGTTCTCTCAGATACATTTTTTTTTTTTTAAAAAGAGAAACAAGGTTTTCTGATTGATGGGAGTGCAGCCGTTCTCTTCAATCTGGAATCCCTGCTTTGAACCGGAAAGAAGTCTGTCAAAAGACGTGGGGAGTTAGGCATGAGGTCTGGGGAGACGGTTGACGGCATCCCCTGGCCAGGGAGCCAGGCATCAAGGACTCAGGAGATGACCGTGTCTGGAAGGACCCTGCCCTGAGAGTCCACATCATTGTGCTCTTGGCAGTGGTCTTGTGTGCAGAGATAAGTCAGCCTTGGTCTCCCTCCTTTCAGATTGCCCTGATCACTTGCATCCTCTTGCCTGTGCCTCTCCTGTCATCTGCGTTCCCATGGCCACTCTGCTCCAGCCTGGTCTGTTTGGGTTCTGTGCTCCAGATGCCTCCCTACAGATCCAGGCCCCTCACTCTGTAGGCCAGACCTGGTGTTCCTGACACCTACTTACCTCAAGGGATGTGACCATGATAGTTCTACTTGGGAACTTCTCCTGCTCACAGATCTAGGCCCTGTCTCTCAACAGCCAGGGAAGCATCCTTGACCTGTTGACACAGACTCCCAGGCTTCGTCTCTTCACGGCATGTGTGGTGGGTAGGAACTGCATCTTAGCTTTTCACCTTTCTTCTTATCAGAATGCATTCATAGTGAAGTCAGGGCCCTTTTCCACCTTGTTCCCTATCCGATGATGTCCAGCCATCTTCCTGGGAGCGCATAGGTGCTCGATTAATACTGGTGGCAAAATGAATAAAGTCCTTATCCCTGACACCAAAGAGTTCATGGTCTAGAGTGGTGCCTTCATCTGCTTTGTGCTATTATAACAAAATGTCTGAGCATGAGTAGCTCCAAAGGAAAGAGATTCATTTTGGCTGACAGTTCTGGGACTAAAAGGCCAAGGCCCCATGTATGGTGATGGTTGTTTTGCTGGCAAAAGTCCTGAGGTGTGCAGGACATATAACCTGGCAATAGCCATGAAGCACACATGCATACACACACACACACACACACACACACACACACACACACACACCTATACTCCCTCTAGTGTCTTTTTATCTGTCTATTTTTCCTACCTCCTTTATAAAACTATCAGTATTCAGTCATGGATATTGCCCTGATGACCTGATCTGAACCAGATCACTCACCATAGGCCCCTCCCCTAAACTTTAACCTGTCCTAACCCCTCACAGTGGGGATTAAATTTCAGCACAGCCTGGCTGGGGGAAAGGGCCCACACAAAGACCATCTCCAAACTATAGCAAAGGAGAACCTGAAACACACACTGCACAGCATCCTTGTAGATTCTCCTGGGAGGCCAGCATCTAGAGAGGAATGGCAGTGAGGGGGATAGGAGTCTGGCCTTACACAGGAAGAGTTCCAACCATAGCTTCAGATGTGTATAATGTGGTTGTGTGTCTGTGTGTGTGTGTGTGTGTGTGTGTGAAGTAAGCAGCCTCCTCAAGTATTATTGCTTTGTTGACATCTGACTTTGGATTTTATTTACTTTGGAGAGCTGGGGTGTTCTGTTTTTGTTCTATCCGTGTAAAAAATGGTTCCCTTAGGTCTAAGTAGTGAGATCATTTTGAGCTAGCTATAGGAGACAGGAGAATTTCTTATGAAAAGCAGACTTTCAGAAGATGGACTGAGAGGCCAAGCTCTGACTCCAGGGAAGTATCCTCTACATGAAGAATAGGAGACCTGGGCTCACAGACGTTCCCTCTGTTTTTACCTTCTCTGTCACTAGCATCCATATAATTCTTTAGCTCTTACCCATGGATGCTGTCAGCGTGGGGAGGCCAGCTTTCCCCGTTACATTAGTTTCTATTCTTGTCACTGTGACTTGCCTACTGTCTGACAGAAAGAACTGAAGGAAACATAGCTTTTTATTTTGACTTATGGCTGCACAGGTGTCAGGCCATCATGGGGTCAGAGACATATCAAAGCAAAGTAGGTAACATCATAGCGGGCAAGGAGAGGAGAAAAGAGAATACAGGAAGCATCCAGGGACAGATATAGCCCACATTTACACTCCCACTTCATCTCACCACCTTTAAAAATACTGTTCTCTTTTGGTATTATCAAGAAATCTAAGAAGCTAAATAAGAAGGAGAACCCAAAGAAAAACATATAGGCATCCGCCTGAATATTAACCTTCATCAGGCGATGAAAGGAGACAGAGACAGAGACCCACATTGGAGCACCGGACAGAAATCTCAAGGTCCAAATCAGGAGCAGAAGGAGAGAGAGCACGAGCAAGGAACTCAGGACCGCGAAGGGTGCACCCACACACTGAGACAATGGGGATGTTCTATCGGGAATTCACCAAGGCCAGCTGGCCTGGGTCTGAAAAAGCCTGGGTTAAAACCGGTCTCACTGAACATAGCGGACAATGAGGGCTACTGAGATCTCAAGAACAATGGCAATGGGTTTTTGAGCCTACTGCACGTATTGGCTTTGTGGGAGCCTAGGCAGTTTGGATGCTCACCTTACGAGACTTGGATGGAGGAGGGTGGTCCTTGGACTTCCCACAGGGCAGAGAACCCTGATTGCTCTTTGGGCTGACAAGGGAGGGGGACTTGATTGGGGGAGGGGGAGGGAAAGGGGAGGCGGCGGTGGGGAAGAGACAGAAATCTTTAATAAATTTAAAAAAAAATAAAAATAAAAATATTTAGATGCAAAAAAAAAAAAAAAAAAAATTCTGCCCACTGATTAGAGCAGCCTCGTGATGTGATATACAGAGAGTTTTTCTCTGTCCTGCCGGCCAGATCCCAAGGATGACATTTTTGTGTTATGTTTGAGCAGGTAAAAGTCATCTGTTAACTTTTTAAGTTTGCTTGAACTTTATAATAAAACCTACACTCATGCCATATGAATAAATAGCATGTAATAATAAGTCATGAGGACTCTATAGCCAACAAGATTTATTATATCTTACCCAGTCTGAGAGCTCTTCCCATGCAGAGGGATCAGCATGTATGTTACCTTTTTTGTAGGTATTTATTCTCTTATTTATTTATTTATTTTTTACTTTTTTCCTCATGTCTATAGCCAAGATCCTCAGAGTTCTCCCCTAATTAAATCTGATCTCTATTAAATTTGGAGGAATACATAGCTTTTTGTCTCTTGTGGAAACAAAAGCATAACCTCTCCCCCAATGCAACACATTTACCTGCATTTAGAAGCTAAGACATCTCTGAAGTATATAAGCTGGCTTCATTCAGCAGTCCCTTCAATAATCCAATGTCTCTCAGCAGCTGCCATTCGCTCATCAGCATTAAAGAAATTCAAAGTCAACAATGCACCGTATAGGATCCAGATGCCCTTTGTATTTTCCACCCTATGTGCTTATCTTTTTTTTTTAATACTTTACAGTTTTTTTTTTAAAGACTTTATTTATTGGTTGGTTGGTTGATTTTTTTGAGACAGGGTTTCTTTGTAGCTCTGGAGCCTGTCCTGGAACTACCTAGCTCTTGTAGACTTGGTTGGCCTCAAACTCACAGAGATCTGGCTGTCTCTGCCTGCCGAGTGCTGCGATTAAAGGTGTGAGCCACCACCGTCATGCTAAGACTTTATTCTTTTTAAACTGTTTGGTTTTTCTATGACTTGCTATCCCCATTTTTTGCTATGTCTGTTTAGAAATTCTTTTGGTATGGACTGCTTTACTCTGTACCTGCAGCCTTCTCTGAGCATGTGAGCCAAGCTTTAAGCCACCCCATGACTCTACACATGGCGCTGGCTGGCTTAAGCCCTCGGGCAGCAGCTGGACTCCTTATCTCTGTAGCACCATAGCCTACCCAAGAGACTGTGGGATTAGTAAGCCGTGTCTGACTCTGTGTTTGTGTGTTGGGAACTTTTATTCAAAACGCTTTGTTAGGGCCTGTGTGGACACTTGTCCCCCACATTTGACTCCAGTAATTGTTTCTGGAAATGCCTTTATGACACGCAGAGTTGTGTGTCCCTGAGCTCAGATAGTTTATAATCCAATCAAGTTGACAAGAAAAATAAACCATTCATTTAACTGGGGAAGTCTCAGGGAAGTACTGTGGTTGATCCTCTTCACGTGTTCCCCAGACATGCTTCAGTGAGACTATGCAAAAATATGGATGTTTTAACAGGAAATAAGCCATGAAAATGTTGACATTGAAGTTGTACAAGCTTGCTGTTCCTTAGAAAGAGAAACGGCATAAGAGACAAGAATGATGCCCTGTCACTTAAGTAGTAAATCTGTACTGTTTTGTCTTGAAAAATTCTTCACAGGCACCTCTGTGCAAATGAAAACCAACGAGCCAAGCAAAACCTCTTCCTGAAGGTCAGAGGGCTGTAGGAGGCTTGAGAAATAGCAAAGTCTTAGGTTCTATATTCACTGTGCTCTCTTAGTCCTGGCCTCAACATTCATTGGTTGAAGGCCCCATAGGTCGGGGTGATTCTCCTTACATCTTTATTGGAGTAAGCTAAGAGTCTTGATGTGCTTGGTCACAGAATCTTCTCTGACCTTCTCTGACTACTTTCCTCTTCTCCACACAGATTGTGCTTGAGAACAGCAGCCGGGAGGACAAGCACGAGTGTCCCTTCGGCCGCAGCAGTATAGAACTGACCAAGATGCTGTGCGAGATCCTGAAAGTGGGCGAGCTGCGTAAGTAAGGGTGCATGTGCCCCGTGGGTGTAAAGGTCGGCAGGCACCGAGCTTCCCCTACCCATGAGATGACTTCCCAGAGTGCCGACCTTCACATGCCATTACCATAGGTCCATTCTCTGGCTCAGGTGTCCTGTGTGTGTGTGTGTATTTCTAAATGTCTGTTTTGTATAGAAACATTAAAGGCTACAGGAAGAGAGGACTTGGTGGGTATTGGGTCAGAGGCTCCGATATTATAAAAATTAGTGCATGTCCCATGTGCCTCACTTTCGGCTAGGTAGAACATCTGTTGTGGACTGTTTCCTTGCATTCTACTTCTTAGGCTTCTTGAGACCATTTCCTTTGCTTTCTTTTGAAACAATTTTTTCCTATAAAGAAGAATTGAATACTGTAATGAAATTCTCTTTGCTACCAGTGTTTCAGTTGTGGGGAATATTTACTCTAAAAAGAAAGACTTATTGAAGAAAATGGGTGTCTGAAAATGAAAAGTTGGCTAGAAATACGCTTTGGGCTCTTTTTCTTACATGACTAACTTTCTAAGAGGACATCCAAGAAGAGAGATAATAATATCCTTGCCTGTTGGCTCATTGGTGTACTTTAGCTTTAACATGAAGGCAGATATGACTTAATCTCCTTCCATTGTCCTTGCCTATGCCAAGTCTCCTTGAGCAGCCAATTCTCACTTCTCCCATCCACAGAACTGGAGCACACGGATGAATCCTTCCTCTCAGGCTTAATAACACTAGTACTAGAGAAGACTGCTTATATCAGGAAAATTTTGGAGGTGGTATGTGATTCTATTGTGAAAAGTATAGATATGTGACCACCAGCTTTGAGGGCTTAAGATAATGGTGTAGCGTAATTAATGGGAAGGGGCTTGTGATTAAATTGAAAAGGGGGTTATGTTTTATTTACATTTGAGAGCAAGATATAGATAATGTTGAGGAAATTTAGGAATTAATAAAGGAAAAACTAAAAAGTTAAGTTATTGGACCATTGGCTGCCAGTTAGGTAAAGAAGTCAACGTTGGCATAGAACTGCCAGCGAAGGTCATTGCTTACGAGGCTACAGTACTGAGGAATTGCATTGGGATGGGGACAGTCAAGCCAGGGCGGTCTGTTAATTTGTGCTCTTCACTGAGTGTTGAGGTTGCAGCCCTTAGGGATCCCTGATATAAGGTGTCTGCCTCTTCCCTAATTGAGACTGTTGTCTTTGATATCCCTTACTGTTTGTTCAGCTTAAGAATGTAAGCCCTAATCAAACAATCCCCTTGGAGTCTCTCCATCTGATAACGATCTAGTATTTATCTCAGTTTCATGGAGGGGACTATTTAAAGTCACTTACTAATAAGGCCCTCTGAATCCTTCCATTTCTAGAAAATGTAGAGGCACCAGGCTTTCTGTGTTCAAGTTACTCAATTACGTTGCCTCTTTTACCCACCCTTTCCATCTTCCTAATACCATATGTTGGGAAACAGGAGGAGTACCCTTGTGCTGTGATGTTCCCGGCACCACTTTCTGCTTTGCTCTGATGTCATTAGTCTGCCAGAAGAGTGGCCTGGTGGCAGGGAAAGAGATGTTAGCAGTGCAGAGGAGCTGAATTCTGTATCTGGTAATGACTCACCCGGGTCATTGTGCTGCTCTAGCCATTCACAGTCCCCAGAACAGAACTCCTAGAATGGCAGCGTTTGGGGATGAAGACTTAAGTACTGTCTTGGCTTTGTAACTGCAATACAGAAATGTCAGTGTGGCGAGCCTGTGAGAGGCCTAATACTCAACCTGGAGGGACTGGCTCGGGAGGCATGGTCGGATTCTGGAGTGGGTTGTGGATACGGCTCTTGTGGGCCTGATGTGACCTGGAAACCTGGCCTTTCCGTCAGTGGGGCCATCCTGGTAAGGGAGAGGAACCAAGGTGGCAGTAGTCTGAGGTCGCCAGCCATCTCACGAGTTTCTGTCTGGTGCCTGTGCATGAGATGGAGTTGGAGGATGTCACAGGTTTTGGCCTCTGGCAGTGTGAATTTGATCTTGCCATTACAGTCAGGATAATGAAGGGACCGCAGTCCTGTGAACTGAGGTAACAGGGTACAGAGATGAAGGGAAATAGCTCATGGACGCGGCACAGTAACGCAGCTGCTCGTCTTCTGTCTCCCAGCTTCTGATGAAGAAAAGTCCTTGGCGTTCTCTTCAGGTCGCCCTGCAGGTCCTCGAGCTGCCTCTGCGTGGAGGCTGGACTTGAGTGACAGAGTGGTGCTATGGTCCCTTCGCCAAACATAAGGATACTTGTATGCATTTGCTCAGTAAAAAATCTACCGAACATTTGTAATGTGTTGCATACTGCAGCTATGGTTGAAGCAGAAAGGGCCTCTCTCCCCCAGGAACTTCCAGAATTTTCTTAAACTTCAGAAAGTGAAAAGATGAGCTGGGACTGAAATAACTCATCCTGTGATTTTAAATTTATTATGTTTTTAAAATAACGCCTATTTGTGATACAGAACAATTTTTCCAATATTTTGATCGTTTCGAGTTTAACTTTCCAATTTGGCCTCCTGCTAGCCATCATGTTGCAAGGGCCATTCTGGGCATCTTTCAAGGCTCACAGAGTGTTTTTACTTCTGTGAAGTGAGACATGCCCAACTAAGTTGTTTTCTGCTCATAAAATATGAAAGGATGGCTGTACTCTGATTGAGTGCTCGACATCAAATGATAAAACACCCCATGGAAAGAGGAAAATTGCTTTTTTAAAATGGATTGCCTTTTGCCCAGTGCCATATTAAATAAGTTACTAATATGAAAAACAAATTTGAATGCACCCTTATGTTGACGGAGATACCTATTTTTCTTCTAAGGCAAATTAGTTTCACATGCAAATTCATTTCTTCTTGGTTTGTTTGCTTCCCTCCCCTTTCTTACGCCTAAGTTCACAGTTCTGAGAACTTCTCAGATTTGTGCGACTAACTGACCTTGAAAACCATGGTCAGTTTAACTATGTTAACCAATTCTGAAACTAGAAGAAGTGTCTGATTAAAAATCTAATGGGTAGGGGCAAAAGGATGCTCATAAATAGAGTTAATTTTCTGAAATTATTTATCCTTATTTTTAATTTTAGGTCTCTTGAAGAAATCTAGTTTGAAAGTGCCAATTATAATTTTTGTATCTAATGCAAACACATTAAATTACAGATACCAAACGTATGTGAACATTTTCTCTTTAGGTAGCTTAAATATACACATGCCCTGTTCTGCTTCCTAGTTATTGGGATGTCAAGTGACAAATATTATCTCTGATAGTATGGCTTAAAATAACATCTATTTCTGTTCTCAGAAACAGTTTATCTAGGTTATTTAACTGATGCCTGTAACACCCAAAATCAATAATGTCTATGTTTATTAATGAAGGAAGCCCTGCTCTGATGACATAGTGTATGGAGTAGCTCAGTAAATTTTGACTGAGGATATCCAGGGGAATTTGCAGAAAGAAGTAGGAAAAGAGAATGGTGGTATTTGGAGATCTGAGGGAACCAGCTTGGAACACAGCTCAGCTACTTGTTGGGTGTCTCAGCATGCTTCTCTACTATTTTCAGCTTTTGGTCCCTTATCTATAAAATAATACATGTTACACAGTTCATGGGGCTTAAATGTACTAATGAACATGGCTGTAGCTGAAACACCCACCAGTAGGGTTCATTTTCTTTATTTATAAGTGTCCCAGTCTTGCTTTCCGTGAGGAAAGGGAAGGTTAAGTGAGAGGGCCTGATGTTTCCACTTTAGAGGGAGCTGAACAGTGACCTTGTTTCTTCACTCTACACATGACTCACATTAGCTACAGTCGGTCCTCCATCACAGAATCTCAATCTGGAGAACCAGCCAACTCTGGGACTAAACTATTTGGAAAGCAAATTCCGTCCATACTGAACATGCACAAACATTTACCCTTCTCGTTGTGTGAGACAACAGTACAACAATGACAGTTTGTGCAGCATTTATATTGTGTTAGTTATCGTTGTCCATTTAGAAATCATTTCAAGGATATGAACAGTTATGCATAGGTCATATCTCAGCACAGAAGGTGCTTGAGCATCCCTGGACTTGTTTTCTAAGGGGTTGAGGATGCTTCCCCCCAATGGACAGCAAAGAACATTCCTTTTAACCTTCCAACTTGAGACTCCTTTGGAAAGAAGACATGTTTCCCTCAGTTTCCATTATAAAAATCACAAAGAATCCTTAGAAAGCTGGATATGATCACATATACCCAGAGTCAGGGTGTGTAATCGGCAATCCCAGTGAAAAGAATCAAACAGACGGGGAAGGAGGAGTAAGCTTTCAAGATAGGAATTACGTGTTTATTTGCTTGGAGTTTGTGAAGGAGGCAGGAAGGGGGTGGTGCCTCTTCTTATAGAAGGAAGAATATAGGCAAATCCATATAACTGCTTTAGCACTGAGTTCTTGGGAAGATATTAGCTCCCAAGTAGAGAAAAACAGAGATAGCTGTGCAGTTTTTGTTGTTATAACCTTTGTCCTCGAATAAATGAATGAAAGAAACTTAATTTCTGCTACAAGTAGAATAATTGCTTACCCATTGGACTTGTAACACCATGCCTATAGCTTCATCCTCTAGCTCTGGGGCACCTCTCTACAGGGTAGGATCTTATTAGTCACCATCACATTAATTTAGCACATTTTCTGTGTCCTCAAGATGCCCACAGGCTGACTCGAATGTCCTTCACATGAATAATGAGAGTGAAAAAAATCCTTTTCCCTCTGTAGTGTTTTGTTGACATCAGACCAACACCTCTAGAGAAGCAGTATTTTCTCTGAACCCTCAGAATTTCTACCTATGGTTTCTCCTTGCTGGGATTTTCAACAGCTACATGTGCCAGGCCCCAGTCAAACCCATTTGTCTATATTCTTGGAGTTCTACAACACTTAGTTCTTATGATGCCCACAGTCGCAAGCTCATATGCCTCTCTAGCACACCTTCCAGACCCGTGTTCATTCGTAGAAA